GCTAAGGGACCTTCTCTCTGGTAACTTGAGCTCAATATAATGCACTATTATGTGTTGTTTAAGTAAATAGAGAGGTAAAAAATTTTAAAGACATACCGGTAAAAATAGTTGTCCATGAATATTCTATAAGGTACCTTATTCAAAGTACCGTAAAAGAAAACTAAAACAGTTAGTTGCATGAAAGCCCAAATAGTATTTATGAATCTTAAAACCCAGCCCCCTCACCAACATTTCAGAAGTACATCCTACACATCATTGCCCTCCCCCTCCCCAAAAAGCTATCCTAGCTATGCAACTATTCTGCACAAGGGGTGAATCCATATTTAGACCCACCTAAATTTTAATGTGAAAAACATGTTTAACACGTTTGCTGCGGCACGTCAAATAGCGGGCGTATCCCCAGTGCGGCGCAGCCCTCAGCGTCGAGTAAACCCGATTGCCGCGTGTGATTGGCTTTCCAATTTTGGTCTGACGAATAGCAAATAACGTGAGGGGATGTCCTGCTTTACAACGAGAGTCGATGTAGTTCGCTTAACACCCACAGATAGCAGCACTGCTTGGAACGTAGCCGGTCCCTTTGGAATTGTATTGCCAAATGGAGGGAAAAAGACGGGACAAAAAGAAGACTTTTGAGATTGCTAGACGGGGATTTTATGGGGAAATTTACTACCAACCTACACCACAACAAAATGTAAGTCACATACTACACGCTAACGTGGTATAGGTCCGCTTTCGGCCGACGCTAGAGCAAAAACGAAGATATACAAAAGGCATTACCAAGCCTTCCCGATGGGGTACGGACGCACCGTACGGGGGCCAAGCGCCGTACCCGATCGGGAACGGCCGCACTCTACGTGTTAAGAGTGTTCTGTCCTTATTAAACTGTTACCTGTATTTTTACATAAAATCTTTCTACAAAGAATTATGAATAGTAACACGTTTATAAGAGCGACTCGCCTCCGAAATTTCAGTGATTGACGGCTTGAGAGTTCCGTTAATGTACTCGTAGAGAGAGATCCGGGTGAAGTCATAGGTGAGGACTGGGTCTAGACTAAGGTTCTTGAGCAGGTCATTGAAAAGCCAGGGACAAGGGCGCAGTTGGTCAGCGAGGCATCGGATCATGTGGTCCTTGACTCGACACTTGGCTACCAACCCCGACACTATGGAGCTCAGGTCCTCACCCGTCTGTGGAACAGTCAAACATTACCGTTCAAGCAAAACCAATATATCCTTTAAACAGTTAAATAATCTATATATTAATAGGCAAGCATGTTTCTTTAAAACCTTTTTTTTCAGATCGTGTGCATCATAAGGAAAATCTATGCATACTGATAAAAATATATTTTCCTGTAAGTGTGCAGAATCCCTTTATAAATTCAAATAGGCGCAAAATAAGCACAACAAATTAATTTAAAATTTGAAAAAATTAACATGGGCCTTTGTTATGCTGGTGACAAAATAACAACGAAATATAAACAGAAAATCTAAACAAATGAAAGAAATTCCAATCACAGATAAGAGTCTCTACATTACATATTTATATTTTGGTCGAGTTTTCGACCACTGGATGACCTCTAGTTCTAATTAAAGTAGAGTAAAAAAGATTGAATGATATTCATTCCATTATATACTCCTAGGAAAATATTTTGGAATTCCAATTTAACATTATAAATATCTAAAGCATTACTACTGAGACATTAAAAGGGTTATCAGTAAACTAATGTCTCCAACAGGTTTCAGTCGTGGCGAAAAGTGAGTTAGTTCAAATTTGACACTATCAATACAGTACTGTGCTCATTACTTTCCCCACATAGCACAGAATATTTATTTGATATCAAATAAACGTTCAATATATCAAACTATGTCAAATAAAAAATTTGATATTTATTTGATATTCATTTAATGTTCAAAATGTCAAAGTCAAACAATGTCAAACTTTGAATATTTATTGTATCTTCAAAATATCAAAGTCAAATAACATCAAATTTAGAATATTATCTAAATATTCTTAATGTTAAAAATTTGATTTTCTCTTTAAAAATTTCCAAATATACTAGTTTTAAAAATGTTTAGATTTAACTTTTTAAATTTTTTAGAGTAAAGAATTAGTCCCCAGCCTACAGGGGCCCATTTCATAATAAACTACAAGTTACTACAACTTGTAACTTGTTATTTCCATTAGATTTGCATTGGGCAATCAGCTGATTTACTAATAATATTAGTTTGTACTTTATTATGAAATGGGCCCCAGTTTGTAACATGGAGGTCGGAGGTCAATTATCTCAAAATAATTAATAATAGGAAGGAACACTGAACACTGTAATTTTTAATTAATTGATGATGGATTTTGACTTTTCGCGGGGGGGGGGGGGGGGGGAGTTGTTGGAACATCTGATATTTTTCTGAATCTAGGCTTACTACACATTTCAAGAAGAGTGAATAGGAAACACAGCTTTTTTAAAAGTTTTGTTTATTAATAAAAAAGTCAAACTCTTAACGATTGGCCTTATCATTTTATTTTTACTAGTAAATTAAACCAAACGTAAATTTAAATTTTTTTAAGTGTAATATAACTCTAAAAATAAATGTTAAGTATCTAGTTTGAGCTTGACTTGGCCCATCCATTCGTATGAAAGGAAGAGAGGAAGACTGAAGACAAAACACCAACTTAATTCTAACCTAACTCAGCAAACAAAACATTACAATACAAAACAAATTACAAAATCCGTCGTGCGACCAGTGGTGGCCAGTTTACTCACGTGTGGATTTATTTATTTATTAACCAACAAATTGCCCATTTTGAGGGAAAGTACACGATTTATGTAAAATTTACCTATGACAACTAACTTGTTGAGTAGGCTACACAAGTAGTGAAAATAAAATATGGAAGCAACAAGAGTATCAAGATTCAAGAACAAGACGAAGACATAACCTCAAATCAGTTAACTTAAGTGTGCTGATATTTTGTTTAGTGTGTGTCACTGTTAGTTTAGAGTTGTTATTTTTGTGACTGGGTATTGGCATAACCTACACCGAACATCTTTTCACGTTTTGATCCTTGGAGTATGTAAGTATAAGTCACTATACCTAGTAACATAGACGTATTTTAGGCCTTGGCCTTACCTAGACCTAAGTTAAGCTACTGTACAAATTAAATTGGCCAACTTATCATTCCTAATGCCTTAACTTAAGTATAAATAGATAAATCTGAAACCTCAAAATAGGCAATCTGTTTTAGAGGAAGTATTTTTCTGCATACTAATAAGGCCTAGGCGTAAGCTACTAAGTTAGGCGGTTTGCTTAGTTCTTACAGAACCAGTAGTTTATTTAGCTTCAAAGGGCAACTTCCGGATGAAAATAGTGTTCAAGATATAGGCTAGTAAGTAGGACTAACTTACTGGTTTACAAGGCAAATGGAATACCATACTGTGTTGTAATACCTTGTTAGGCTAATTTTGAAATATTACTAAGTTATGTGGGTTATATTTTACGTCAGTCACTAACTTAAGTTTATGTAAATTCACCATCAAGAATAAGTTAGCTTAATTTAGGCTAGCCTAGGCCTAACATAAGTTATTCTACCTCAACCAGGTTACAATTTACCGGTATTATAAAAGAAATAGCCTAGCCTATTTGAAATCCATTTTCCTTTTAAACTGAATTGGGGTACACTTCCGTATCTGTTGTCAAAAACAACTGAATGAACATAGGCTATAACGATCGATATTTTCATTCGGTTGTTTTTGACAACAGATATGAAAGTCTACCCCTGTAAGTCTTTTGTATTTTAGTTGTTGTCTGCTTCCTTTACCAACCAATGATTAGGCCTAACTAATCTTGATACATATTTAGGCCAGAGAAAGGTATGCATGAATTTAACTAAAAGTAGTTTTCTCTCCATTGTTTCAGTTGATAACTCTGCAGCTTTGGTGGAAGTTATTATTTGGTAGCAGTGAATAATTTGCCTACGGTACCAATTCTCCCGAGTGACAAAGTGGCTGTCTAGCAGCCTGTAGGCTGGGAAGGAGGAATAAATTTTTCTTTTGCAATCTGCATCTGAAGCCAGCTATCTTGCGTAAGTTTTTTTTTTATTTACAATCAGACATTAATAATAGGTAGGCATACATATATTTCAATTAGGTTTTCTCAAAGTTAAAATAAGTTAAAATAAAGTTTCAATCTTAGGTGTTTTTATTTCAATTTTTCTGTTTGATTCGCCATGACTGTGTATGTCTTTTTTGCCATAACGGGTACAGTTCCGCAGAGAACCTGCGATATATTATCGGATGAATAACATTATATATCAATAATTATCCGATTCAATACATCGTTCCCTATGTTTTTTCACTATGTAAACATCAAATTGAGTTATGATTCGGTGCTATGTGGGTCCTCACTACTATTTTAGCAGGTCCTCCATCCTCATGTAGCGAGTTTCATAGTAGTAGCCAATAACAGTGTGAGGGAAAATCTACTCAACATATGAATTATGTAAGTTAATTAGGTTTTGTGATCGAAGGGGCCAATGCTGTTAAAGTATATCACCAGTCAATGGTCATAAAAGAGGAAAGGTCTTTCGACATAAATGGTGAAGGGAGTTCACGCAGTTGGTTGTAAACGTTGGCACAGTATTAAAAATTTTATGAACACTATAGGCCAAGTGTGGTCATTATTTGCCATTAATACATAGTTTCTGTTTCTCTAATAACATTTACTTATTTCTGTAGTTTTAGGTTTTCAAATGTTTTTTTTTTCTGTAAGCAAATTAGACAACCAGCAAAATTTGAGTTCAACTATACTGCAACAAAACCGATCGTCACTTGGGGTTGGAATAGTAGTAGTGTAAAGATAACAGCGCTGATATCAAATTTGAACTAGCTATCTTGGCCTCAAATGGAGCTCATTAAAGACGTTACTTTGCAAAAACTATTGACTAGAACTATATAAAGTTAGAATCATATTCATAATTAATTAAAAAGTACACAAAGATATATACTTACATTGTTATTAATTACCGTAAGAGAAGGAGATGATTGATTTGTGCCTGAAATAAGCAGTTTACACATTAGCTAATTGGAGAGCAGATCTTAAGTACAATATTTTGTTTGATTTTAACTTTATAAGTAATATATTTTAAAACCAACAAAACGTACTAGCTTTTGCAAAACAAATAATACAGGGCTTTTAAGTGAGAAGGTTTCTTGTATAATTTTTGCAAACTCTCTCTGGGCTCTTCTTGTCACTCAGTCTTAAGTACAAAAATAAAATAAACAGAACTTATAGCACAGTTTTCTGAAAAAGGTTGAAGGGTCTCTGAAAAAATAGCTTTTGTGAGGGAACTTTTACAATCACAAAACTAAATGGTTACTCAAGACAAGCCTGTCAATACAGACGGACATCGGACATGGCTATCAACGCTATATTAGTAGGAACTGTCTGAAAGCACCGCTCTTGATGGTTAAAAATTCAATATGAACCCAAAAGTCATTGATACATTGGTGTGTTGTTTTGACAGTCCCATGTTAGCAAATGCATTTTTAAGAGAATCTAGTACCTGGACGGCTCTGGTTTGCTGGGGTTTGCTCTAGGTTATCATCAAGGAGGCCAGGAGAGGTATGGTTCTAGAACAGGAGAGGTGATGACAACAAAATAGCAATAGGATATTTATTAAATTATTTATGTTAATTACACATATAATCCTAAGTCTTTCCAGGGTCACAATCATGTTCCATCAACAGGGGGGAAAAACATTCTACTATTGTCTAAAGTAGAAAACAGCTTTTCTGAAATATGCTTCCCCATGATTATTGTTACCAGTAAGTTGGTTATTATTATGTTTAAGTTCTTCCAGGTTTGAGAATTGGTTTAAATAAAAAAAGACCTGTTTTCATAAGGAAAGAGTGTTGCTCAGCATGCCTTTTAAGGGGAGAATTCTTTTAAAATGTTTATTTGATTTTTCAATTTATGCATGTAATCGCTTTTGCTTCTTACTTAGTGCTAGTATGATGTTGGCTTTGCTATCGTTTGTAGTAAAAAGTAAAATAGTAATTTCCCTGGGTCTTTTGTAGAAGAGTGCTGCCCCTCAGTGGCGGATCCAGAGGGGGGTGAGAGGGTGACCCTTGGGCATATATTTTTTACTACACGTAATGTCAAAATTTTGCCACGATTGGCAAAGACGATAATGATGTTCAATTACCACGGAGGTTATTCAGGGCCGTGACCACGAGAGAGAATGACAATGTCCACACGACCGGGGGAAATAAACAATATTTTGCTGCGATCGTGGAAGACGATGCTAATGTTCCGTTGTGGGGGTTATTTGATGTTTTGCTATGACCGCAAACGCGTTGCTATGGAAGACGTTTCCGAGACTTTGGGAAACGAGGATGATGTCTACATGGCCACAGGAGATGATCAGAATTTAGGCCCAAAGGCGAAAGACGACAATAATTGACGATAATGTCTACCATGACCACAGGAGATATTCAGAATAAGGCAGCGATCTCGGAAGAGGTTTATGGTGATAGTTACTGCGGGGGTTAAACAGGTTTTACCCTGACCACAGAAGACAATAATGTTGTTCATACGACCCCGGGAAATGAACAAAAATTAGCGAAGACGATGATGACTTTTCCGTGACTGTGGGAGCGGGAGATGATCAGATGAATTTAGTTGCGAATTCGGAACGACGAATGGACGATAATGTCTACAGGACTGCGGGAATTGTTCATGATTTTGCCGCTATCAGGGAAGACAATGATGATGTTCCGTTACCTCGGGAGATATTCACGGTTATGCCATCACCGCGGGAGACAATGACGATGTGGGGGGGGGGGTCTTCACCAAAAATCTCGCCCCCCCTCAATCTAAAGCTGGATCCGCCTCTGCCGCCAATATTTATACCATGGAAAAACCCCGTTTAGGTTAGGTGATTTTTAAATTTTTGTGATTATTTCTGTTCAGTAGATAAATTAAAAAAAACTGTGAGTAAAAATATAAAGATAAACTAAACTAAACTTTCGTTATTCCACAGTTTAAAAAGTGGCGGCCCTATTCTGATAAATATCAATTTCATTTTCCCAGGATTGATTCTATAGACTCAACCCTCGACCTAGAATTGCTCATACTTAACAGCAGCAAAGAAGTTGGAACTCAAATAGGAAAGTTATGCCTGTTATACCGGTACTGTAAAGATCATGTCAATTTTATGGTGTGTAGGGAGGGAAGAGGGAAAGGCTCTCAACAACACTGTGAGTCACACAAATAAAGGTTAACTAGTTGTATTAAGTTAGTTGAGATTACTGTACAAAATACAAAAACAATGGCGGGTGGGAAAGTGTTTTTCTGCACATGTGCACCCCGCTCCCCACTCTAATTGACACCATCTATACCCTATGTTATTTCAATTATTACGACATATCATACCATTAGAGAGGATCATATTGTAAAACAAATACATGTTTGTGATTTATTACTGAAATCATTGAGTTAATTGTTATACAGTAGTGAAAATTTAAATAAATTGTATGTTTTTCTTTTAAAAAAACTTACCATTTTACTTTGTGGAGCAGTCTTTTGTAGGATACTTAATATATGCCTCAGCTGTGGGGCATAAGTATTTGTACAATTCCAACAATTCTGTAACAATTGTAAGGGTTAAACACATTTGGAGTTGTAAAGCTTACAGTAAAATTACTTGCTTAAGCACTTTTTTTCAAACAGGAGTTTGGCTCAAAAAATAAATCCTTCCAAATTAATTATGTATAGATTAGTATAAATTAATTTTCCAAAAACTTACTCTGGAATGTTGATATGCTGATATTGTTCTGTCCAAAAACTTGACTGGAATTGGGTTGTTTGGATCAAACTCTTTGATTATTTGCTCTGATTTGTAACAGTCATTCTGTAACAATTAGAAAGTATGAAACAACATAAATCAGAATTTTAGAAACGTGATCTAAGTATAAAATGTTTTATCCTATCTTCCAACTGAAGAAAATATATTTTTACCCCAAAACATGTATATGATTTGATATTTGCTTGGGTTGGAAATTAAGAGGAAATAATTAAATGTAATAGGATGTATCGCACACGGTATTCTAATTAATAGTTTTATCTTTCAAGTTTTATACAAAAAATTGCTGAAATAACGATATCAAAACAAAACATGAATCATCCTTCTGAATGACTTTAAGATTTTACATGATGACGACTTTAAATTTGGGACAAAAATTGGGATGGATGATCTAGTGGTCTACATTAGTGGTACCGGTGCCTCTTTACCACAACTAAAACCAAGTGCATTTAATATAAGCATGAAATTGTTTGGATATGTAGCTAGATAAGATTATATGTTTAAAACGCCAACGCACCAGGATATTTGTATTTTAATACAAAAATAAGCTAATGAAGGACGGGTGCTGAATGAATGAGAATTACAGCTTTGTTACTGACTAAGATCAGTTTCTTGTCAAAATCCCAATGATCAAATGCAGCAGGTTCCAATTGTTAAATGTTTGAAAAATTTGCAGACTTTTCTTTAATTACTAAGATGAGCTGATTCTATGATGAGCTGATTCTTCAACCAGGGCGCCAGGACCATTTATTGAAAGTCCAAAATGATCACAAATAACAAATAAGTTTAGTTTCAAACGTAAAGAGCTTCTGACTTTTCTCGGGAATGGATAAGCTACTGTATCTACACATTAAGACGTACCAGTCTACTAGTGGAAGGAGAAGGTGGAGTGTTGGAAGCTGCAACATCCCTTGTTGACATCACATCAACATGGTGCTCAGCCGCATCTAGGAGCTCCTCGTGCAGTGAGCCGGCCAGACTGGGCGCGTCACTCCCAGGACTGGGGACATCCCTCAGCTGTCTCTCTCTCTCCACTGCTATCATCAGCTGATCATTGTTGTCTCTCTCCTGACTCAGCGCTGCACGCAGCTCTAGAACCTCCCTCTGGCAAACAATGTAAGGATAATCTTCATGGATGTGTGTACACCACACCGTCACACACCGTAGATTTGAGATCTTCGGTTGACAGTCGGGTGGAAAAAGATCAATCACATAAGTTTACCAATGTTTCAGTCTCGATATCGAGAGCCATCTTCAGGGTGACCTGACTTCCATACAGTTGACCATTGACATACCAAGTGTGCTGGTGTTACGTTATCCTGTAGATGGCACTCTACATCCAGGCCAAAACATTGATGAACAGATCTGTTTAATTTTTTGCAATGTTCATCGTCCAAAGAACAAAAATCTATAACATAAAGATGACGTCATTTTTTGTAAAATATTAAATCAGAAGTGACATAAATCATGTTAAACCTTTGTACTTGTTTTGATTGACATCCTACATTAGATTGGACTTTTTTTTAGATCAAAACTATTTTATTGAAATTCTATTGCACATGCAATAGTGTGTATTTAGGCCAGTCTGTCTTATTTAGTAATTGTTTTTGTATATGACAACATTACACAATATTTAGGGTACATTTAAGTAGTGTTTGTCATCAGACTATGGAGGGCTTGTTTTTATCCACCTTATTAGGTTTAGGATACAATATTTATACTGTAAAAAATGTATAACCATCCAACCATTATTGTAGCTCTTCTTAAGTTCTAAACAAGTAAACATTTGTCCAACAATGCATACTTGTAGCTTGTAGCTGGGGATAACCTTGGAGTTTTTTTTAAGAAGGGGCTGTTTTTGTGTATGGATCCATAGTTTGCGTGTACACAGCAGCAAGGTGGCTCGTTGCTTACTGGATTCATTGGTAAACAAAATGGCACCATTTGCAGCTCTGTATAGCTGATGTAGGCCTATACGAGTATGATTTGTTGTAAGTTTTCCCAAGATTTCTAAAGATAATGGCCCTAATGCAATGAGTGAGAGCAAAGTGCAGAAATAGGCTAGGGGGTGTAATGAGTGTAAAAATGCAGCCTTAATCCTTTGTGAGAAGTATGGCTACCCACAAAAAACCTAATTCCATCCCAAATGGAAATTATTAAATAACTATTAAGCTACCTGTTCAATATCCTTTGGTTTTGATGGATGACGACCGGTTTGATGACGACGATCACATCAATCAATCCTCGATCATAGGCAGCCAATGGTGGTCATAGGCAATGTTTGATTTGTTAAATACACTTAAAATTGAACCCAGAACACATTATATTTACAAAACATTTACAGTTATCCCGGACTGAGACAGAAACATCGCGATGCGTACACGCTTACGTCGGGCCGGTCGCAACTTTCTTCTCTAGTCGCGGCTGCCTCTACGTAAGCGTACACGCATCATGATGGTTTCTGTCTCACTTTGGGAAAAATAACTATAAATATTTTGTAAATATAATGTGTTTGGTATAAACTTTAAGTGTATTTAACGAATCGTTTTACGATGATTGACCTATGATAGAATATTCCCTGATGATGTGACCGTCTTCACAAATCGGTCATCATCCAACAAAATAAAAGGATATTGAAGAGGTAACAGTTTATTTTACAATGTAAATCTTCAATATCCAGTAAGTTTAGTAGGAAAATGAACTCTAAATGGAAATATTTCAAAGCATTTTCAAACTCCCTAAACGATTTCTCCACTTTAAGCTCTATCATTGCATTAGGGCTATTTATATATCACTAACTATGGCTAAACATATCACTGACCTTATCTCGCATGCGGCGGGAGATTCACAAATTTTAAAACTTTCTAGACACACAGCAAAGAGTACAAATCAGCTACAGAGCTGCAAGTGGCACCATTCTGTTCACAAATGTAAGTGGCGAGGAGTCTCATTGCAGAGCACACGCAAACTAACAAGCTATATACACACAATCGGTTCTTACCTTAAAATCTACCCTCGTACTTGACTAATGTTAAGTATAATAGTTGATTTGATTTTGTTTCATATAATTCCTGCGCCTGTGTATCTTCTATAAATATTAATAATGAAGCACTGCCTTCAGTATATCGTATATGTGTAAAATGATTTAAGACAGATCTTCATCATAGGTGAAGAGATACTTTTACCAAAATAACACATTCTTGTTTGACTTTTTCTTAATCTTATTTAGGTACATACTCAACCAAAACTTTTACAGTACATGCCCACGCAAAATCTTACGGTATACAAAAAAGTATCTGCTATTTACTACAAAAATAACTCAGTTTACCTCTAATGTCTGCACTTCTTCTCGCAACTCGCTAATCGTAACCTCACTTTCGTCTAGTTCTCTGCCTCTCTGGTTTAACTCTTTTCCCTGTCATTAAAGACAAAAATCAATTAGTTTATCTGAAAATACACTGTGTCCCAAAAAAAAAAAAAAAAAAAATCTACAGATTAATATATGTGTTATCAAGGGTCGTAGAAAAGTCAACTATGGCTTATTTTAAAGGTGAACTTTAAGTTTTTTTTAGTAATATTCAACAGTAATCAGCTGTTTCATTGTTGTATGAATTTCCAAAACATTGAGTTGCAATTTTTGTCTGGGGGTTATGAAGGATCAAGTGTGCCTATCGATCGCCGGTCTAAAACATAGATGAGCTTAAAGCAAAGATAAGGGAATACTTTAGAAAAATATCTAATGAAATGCGCCACAATGTGTGGTTGGAGGTGGAACACTGACTTGACATTCTTCAAGCAAATAACGGAGAACATGTAGAGGTTAGGCGGTGAAACCATGGTAGGGAAAACTTATGAAGTTTAAGGAAAATATTGTATATAAATTTAACTTTTCATGTTTAGTAGTAAAGTTTTTGTTTTTACACCTGTTTACTTTTGATCCATTCTTTTTGGGACACCCGGTAGTGCATAATTATGTTGTAAATAACACATTTCTCTTCTCACTCTTTATCAAACCAAAAGTTTAATACCAAAACACAATAGCATTGTACGTAGTGAAATTTAGAATAACAATGTTTTTAAGGGATTTGTATATCTAAGTTTGAAAAAAATTATGTGTGTATCACCAAGCATATTATTTTTAAATTTATTTTATTACTTCAGCTGCATGAGCACCCTCTATCTATGCCACATCTGTTCTAGATATAGCTAGGCCTATGTCTAATATGTTTTTGTTTTTATTTAAAATCTTAGATGTGTCACACCTAGACTAATATTTTCAAAAAGTTTTAAATGGGGTGCATATGGGATGGATCGTTTCTAGCATACCGGTATACGAAATAATCCCTTCTTTTTGTTATGTGAAGGCAAGAAACATCTAAGTATATTATAACAATGAAAAACAAAACACAAATAGGCTAAGTGTTTTTTGTTTATTGTATAGCAAAATAAATGGGTAAATTACACTTACCAAACTCCTATTTATTTCGTCAATTTCTACTTTTTCTTGTTCTCGTAGATCTAGATCTCCTAACAAATCTCTAATTTTTCTTTTAACAATATCCAGTTCTTCTCTTAGTGGTTTCTCTATGTTTTCAATAAAATTATTTAACTTATCAATAGCATCTTCTCGCTCTGAAAAAAGCCTGTCATGCTTTTCTTGCAATGTTTTCTTCTCTTTATCTTTTTGTGCCAATTTTTCTGTTAAACGAGATATTTCATTCTCAAGTTGATTTACTTGCTCTTGAAACTGTGTTTCTAAATCATTGTTTCTAGACAACCTCCTTATTTGAGCCTCAGCCTTTATAATATCAGCCTGTTTTTGGCTCAGTTCCTCTTCTAGGGATTTCAGCTGTTGTTTATACTCTTGTTCCATTTTCATTAACATTTCATCTCCCGCTTGAACGGTTTCTTGGTAAGCCTTTTCATTGAATTCTAACTCTTTTATCCGCTCATCCATCACCTGACATTTATTTGATAACTCTTCAATAACTAAGATCGCTGCACTGGAGGTCCCAGGAACATTAGGATTGATCACTTCTCCTTTTTCTTTGAGGGTAAGAAACCTTTTGATCTCCTCTAAACTTTTTCTTAAGTTTTCACTATCGTGGCATGATTGCAATCCGGGTGAGGTAAAAAGAGTTTTGTTTTCTTGCTCAGAATTAATTGGTTTAATTAAGAGAGTATCACTAACTGAACCGCGGGAAACTAATTTTCTATTTTCACTGTATATGTAAGGCCTGGCAGAATTTAGCATTCTCCACAAATAATACATAACCATGGCTGGAATTATATTTTCCAATGTATGTAGACGGTAACGAACTTCTATTTCTTTCTCCTCCATTTCAAAATTTTGCTGTTCTAATTTGTTCACTAGTGCTTCCATTTTTGCTGCATACTGTCTAGCCTCATTTCTTTTTCTTTCTTCCTCTGAAAGAGAGCTTCGTAGGTTTGACATAGTTCGAGCATTTTGCTGTAATTGTACTTGCAAATCACTTTTCTTTTCTCCTAATGCACTTAATTTAACCTCTAATCTGAAAAAAATATCAAAATGATTTAGAAACAACACAATATGAATATTTACACACTCTCACTAGGTTGTCAACAAGCATTATTTAAATTAAGTCGTGGAAAGGTCAATGAATACCTAAATATGATTAGATTAGTCTAATAAAAAATTATCTTTATTTAAGTGTTGTGACCAATATCAGAAAACAATTATTTGTTTTGAAAATAGCGAATACCATAGGTTATATCCAAACTTATTAGGATGGAGCTTTATAACTAAAACAAAAATGTCCACCATATGTCAAAATATCTGTTGCTACATTGAAACCAGTAAATGAGAAAAAAAATAAAAATAAAAATTATCTTCTTTAGTACTATAGTGAATGTAATAATGTATTTTACAGTCATTAACTATCTCAACATGTGATTACAGAATAGTTGTATTTCCTACATATGTTGAAAAACATTATTTACAATTTACTTTTGATACTTACATATTGAAATAGTATATTTCATAACAAGAGTAGAAAGTGAGTCATTACATATTTGATACCATGTTTGAAGTTCGAGATTTATTGAGCACTTTAAATGGTCGAGAATATGTATAGGACCCTCTTTCACTTGTGTTTTGAACGTTACTTTTCGCTACACCACAAAGACAAATTATTTTTTTGAACATTACAAAACTCATAGCATTTTTCAGGTTATAACATCAATTAAACAAAAAATATTTGCTTTGGTTGTACAGTTTTGGTTGTTAAAAAACAGTTGAGAAGACCATAACAAATCTCTGTTTGTTTAAATTGGCAAAATCCAAAAAAGATACTGTAGTAAACATTGCTTTCCCATAGTAAACATTCTTTTGCTGTAGTAAACAATATAATGATGAACTTTTGCAGGTGATAAACATGTAACGAAAACAGGTCATATCACAGTAGTGTAGCGAAAAAAATGTTTAATGTCTCATTGAATTTATTTACTTACTTTTGGCACCTCAATCTTGTATCATTTTCAGCTTCTTCAAACTCACATTTCTCTTCCTCTAGTAATCGGTTTTGCTCTTTTAATTTCCTCAATGTACTTTGAAGATGTTTGATTTGGGCAGCTAAAAGTACCTCTTTTTCTAATCTTAAAGCTAATAGTCGAGATTGCTCATCTCCATGACTCTCGTATATGGCTATTTTCTCTTCCAACATTTGTACCCTCTCTCTGTAGAATAACAACTCTTTTAGAGAAGTAGTGTGAGTTAGGAACTCAGGATCATCATCAGATGTTTTAAGCAGCTTTTTGTTTCCCCCTTTCTCTTCTATTCTCTCCCTTATCCGAGTAAGTTTGCGTATCTCGGCCCCCAGGTCTCCCGGAGGAGGGTCGAAGGTCCAGTCAGTCTGAGTGGCAACATTGAGTAAACAGGCTGTTAGTCCGTTGTCCTCAAAGATCCCACTTTCCTGCATGCAGTCTTGGTCTCTCAACAGCCGTTTTATAGGCATTTCATCCTTCACATCTTTACAGTGATATGTGGAAGACAAGTCGTTAAAAGGAAGTACTGTTGCAATTATTCTGCTGGGGGACTTGGCATGGTCCATTAATGAGGGTTGAGTCTCAAAACCCTTTGTCTGAAAACACACAGGGTAGAATTATATACACGGTAATAGAGAATGAGGAGAAGATCAACCACAACTGTATTAGATTAGATAGTTACAGGAGTATACTGAATACTGTGAACTATTCTGAAAGTGATTAAATGAACATTACCCACACAGACAAATTTTACAGGATTTGATAACCTGCACTTAACTGTACATTCTAATAGTAGGCGAGCTGCATACCACACACTTTGTTAACTCCTCTTATCTTGTATGGTTTGGTGTTATCTGTTGTTGTGTTGGCAGGGGTTAAAGGAGAATTTTTTTATAACTTCTTTATTAATGTAATTTGTTAAGGTTTTCATTATCAACTTTTAAACGTTAATTTAAGATTGGTCCTCCCACCAGCTAAGTCACACATTAATAAGCTTCCATATGGATTGCACACTTAGGGGAATCGAACCCCAGCAAATAGATAAACTTGGAGTTACACTTGTCAGTGCAACCAGTTAGGCAACTTAGCCACCATATCACCATCGGACGCCGGGGCGAGTGCCACATAAACGTGTGCAAAGTGCTACACTTGGGCTCGCATGTGAGATTCTATGAACTAACCTGGGGGTTAGCAATACACTTAGCTACGAAATGCAGTGTAAAGCTACACTCGTAATGGCATCAATGGTTTAAATAAGAAAGAATAATATTCTGGAATATAAGCATTTGTTTCTGAGTGAGGAAGCAAAACAATAAAGCATATATATTAGATTGTGTACTATATGATGTACTGTTGACACTATTGAATGTTGGTCCTTCATCTCTAGAGCTATCTACTGACCTGTGCAGCCTCCTGACACATGGCAGCTAGGGTAGCCTCTAGACTCTCCAGTCTTGTCTCGTAGTGACGCAGCAGAGCCAAGGCCTGCTGGATACTGATCCTCTCAGACACGTTCTCTAGACTCTGACACAGCTGGGCTAGCTTGCACTTCACATCCCTGTTATTGGGTTCCTAAACATTTCAACACCTCAGTTAGTGCTAGTTAGTGTAATGTTGAAAAGAAGGACCTGATGTTAAGACCCTTTCTAAAACTAGCAAGTATATGTATTGTATAGCATATTTATTACTCTTTGGGGTTTAAGATGTTACTTCAACAATGTAGGAATTTCACTCAGATCATTGTTGTGTGTTGATTAGTTGATCAGACTACCTATTAAGGTATTGATCAATGATAATTATGATTTTATTGTTCTGGCTAAAGAATAAGGATGTCTTAGCAATGAAAAACAATATGTAATTTCATTCGCTACACTCTTATACCATAGGTCATTCAACTATATTTACTTTAAACCATGTAACACAGTGTGTGTGTTGTCATCATAAATAAACAGTAAATAAATTGGTAACAATTAATTGATAAATGAATCATCAATATTGACAGTCAATCAACAGAACCTCGTTTGGTTGAAAACCTGGATCCATTGTATTTGCTTAAAGAACACCAGGGCAACAAATAAACACTAGAACCTACCTAATGAGTATTGCATTTTGAAATATACTATTATTAATTACAAAAAATGTGTAGATTAGTACATCTATGAGAGTTAGCTTAGTATGTTTCATGATATTTATTTTGATTATATTTATTTACCATTTTAAAGTCTTGAAAGTCGGCTTCGCTGATATCTTCACTTGTTGGTAAAGACATAACTCCACTGTCGCTAACATCGTCTATTTCCCTATCACGGGTATCAGGACTTCGGCTAGAAGGAGACTATAACAAATTCATAAAAACTGGTATTAGTATTACACCAATTAGATAACCACAAAATTATCAAAAATATGTTTTTTTGTCATTCTGTAGTAAAAACAGCCGTTTTAACACGTGCGTTTTGTGGGTCTAAACAGTAGCGGCGACTTGAGCCCACGCCCCCCCCCCCCCCAAGTTTGTTCGCCGGGCCCCCTCTCCCAATTATCTTTAAAATCTTCATCACATGTATTACCGCCTAAAAACATGCAAAATAGCTAGGCACGTCATCTCCCGAGGCACTGAGGCGTCATCATCGTCTTCCATGATTGTGACAAAATTGTGAATACTTCCCGTAGTCATGGAAGAAACATTATCATAGTCTACAGTGATTGCAACCAAACCTATGACATCATAAGATAACAACATATAGTCTCCCGCCATAGGTAAGTAACATTTTTTACCTGACTCGAAATAAACAAATTTAAAGTGCAGCTTCCTAATAGTAAGAAATTAAATGGAATGAAAATCCTTCTTTAGCATTAATGAATGAATGGAATTATATATTTATTAGCTAGTTCCCTAGCCACCGAGGTTTATTCGCCGATTTGATCGTAAAAAAATTGTCAAGTTCATTTATTTGAAATCAGCGTAGAGGGCCCTCTGGTGTCACCCACCAGGATTAACCTAGGAGGATTAACATTAATGTTTTATCCTCATAGACCGGGGGCCACATTGGTTCTAAATATGGCTCTATTATAACGCCTTCACACAGCCCACGAGGACAGTAACTGCATCAACTGTTGATGCAACCTGCATGACTGATGACAATTCTTTTACTTAGGTTGGTAGAGCATTTATATCGATCAGTCAAGTAGGGAGTGTCAGTTTAGCTGTTGTACACTACTTGTCCTAGTGCTCTTACTGGTTTTAACAAATTTTCATCATAAAAAACTTATGGTAATTCTCATATAAATATTGTTATGATAGGGGGCCCGTGTGGCTGAGCCTGTCTCACAATCGCGGGCCCATGTCCTGGTAAAATTTCCCACAAAATCCCAGTCAATGCTCACAGGCCCCCCTACCTTGTCAGCCCCCCGCACTGTGGGTTCTGCAGGCCCGCTATCGCCGCCACTGGGTCTAAAGTTGAATGAACCAACTTGTCCTCTACCTCTTAAAATTAGAAAGTGTTAATAATCCATTATTTATTCTAGCTTGTACATTATCATCCTTCTTGATTCAAACAAATTCACCATCGTTAAATAACCAAACTAAACAAATCCATAAAAGCGGATGAACTAAACCAGATGAACTAAATTTGTTTCCATTATTTGGACCTCCACTTAACAAACTGACAAACAGGTAAGGTTTTCTCTACATAAATGTTTTAGAACTCATGGCACCACATAATACTGATTATCATAATATTGGTGTTCAATATACAAAATATTTTCTGAAGGTTTTCTATTAGGAGATTTAGTAACTCAATTGGGTGGTTTTAATGTCTAGTTCATTCACAAAGAGTCTGTCTTTGTTTTAGTCCTGTCAAAACAAGACTTGAAGTCTTTGTTACAAACTAAGGCCAACATATTCCTTAGACACAGCTGTTAATTAATAGCCCATACAGCCAATGGCAACCAAGGGACCTACTGACCTACAGCTTATAGTGGAATCCGAACAACATTTTTTATGGTAATTTAATAATTTTTTAATAAGGTCCAAGTATGCATGTGATCACCTCGTTAATGTTACCTTATAATGGAAACTACTACAGCTGACACCATCGTCCAACTCAAGTATGCGGAACTCAAGTAGATCGTTCTGTTCTCGCAACTCTTGTGCCTCCGCCTCCAACTCCGCCTGTCGCTGCTGCAGCTCTGTTATTTGCTCTGCCAGTGCCAAGTTGATCAGATTGTCTCCCTCGGCCCTCCGACACTCTCTAAGTTGCTGCTCTAACTTAGTCCTACAACATCAATTGCACAATCACAAATGCTCTACATAGAAACACACTTTGTAAATTTAATGATTTTAACCCATCAGCTCTATTCACCAAAGGTTATTTGAGCTACCTAAAGGAAGAAAAAATAAATCCAAGGTAAACATATTAAAAGTTTCAGTTTAATATATTTTTTAATTAAACTTAAATCCTAATTCTATACAGAGTTTTAAAGAGAAACTCTTTTTTGCGGTACATTCAAATTTAAAATATAAATTTCACACAGCAGAGTTTTAATTTTCTCATCTTCGGTTATCAAACCTTTAGTGTTATGTTATCCAACCCTTCTTCCTTTGGACGGTCGTTTATTTATTTTTTTTTATTTGGGAGCTACATATTTATGTGTTTCTTGACTCACTTTGGGCTGTATTCAGACAACCCATTGAGGGGAATTTTTTAGCACTGTCTGTACTTGATGCACCAGGCAGGATTTGATAACCTGCCCTTAACTGAATGAACATTCTGATTATTTAGGCGTGCTGTATACCACATACTTTGTCAACTCCTCTTATCTACCACCTCTCTGCTACCCTCATGTTATTTACTTGTTTATTTTTTTTTTACCTGTGGATGATTGGACCAAGTATCACTTTTTATTTTATTTTAAAGTTATTACAGTAGTTTTGTTTGTTGACTTTGGCTTTTAAAAGGAAAGAGTCAATGGTTTCAATAATAAATAAACTACTGTAACTTAAATCATGACTAGGATTGACCACTGCCATAGTGTAACATTTTACTTTCACTTGCCACTTGCTTATCATCTGTTCAGCTTGAAACAAGAGTGATTGTTTTGAATAATCATACTTAATAGATTACAAACTCACACCTAAAGACATTACAGTCCCCTCCAAACTGCAACTATATTTTAGAACAATGGGTTGTAATAGTGTATCTCACCTCTGTCTCTCCTCGTCTCGTAGTCTCGTGATGGCCACTACATGACTCCTCTGTAGCTCCTGGTGTTCCTCTAGCAGTAGCTGGTACAGGGTCTCCAGTCCCACCTTCTGTAAAAGCACAAACACAAACTTTTTTGGCTAAGGAGAAATTAAACAATTTGTCGCATAAATTAAAATCTTGAATTGTGTAAATTAGAATTAAAGGATCCATGGAAAAGGTACTGTAGAACTCCGATTATGCTAATCAATAGAGACCAGACCCTATTCAGAAACCTAATCAAAAATTCGGATAATCAGAGTTTTACTGGAATTTCGGGAGTTTAAAAAAATCCTCATTTTCGGTATTACATGAACATTTAATTAATAATAAATGAAATCGGAACATTTTTACAGTTTACGCTCTTAGTGCAAGTGTTCTATACATGTTATTAAGTTAATAGTGTTCTATCAAAGTCCAAAATTACACACTGGCTAAATGTGTTTAATAACTATTCTTTGATGTTTTGCAAAACTTATTACTGTAGCTTTATGTTTTTTTAAAATTGTTGAAGTAAGCGATTTGGATAATAGGTGATTCGGTTAATTAGAGTTTGGAAAGTTGGAGTTCTACTGTACTGTATTTACTGTTGTGTTTAGGGAGTAACTCTGTAATAACCCATTCATGATGATTAATGAATTTTAATTAACTAATTATTATTATAAAAATCACCTTTAAACTCGTGTTTTGTTCATGTTTATCAACGTTCACCAAACTACATACAAAATTTTACACAAGCTGGTGGAGGATAGTGCATAACCTTTTACCGTGAGCCCATCTGGAATTACTAAAACTTTTTAAAAGAAAATGGCAGACCTAAAAAGGCTGCAATCACAAATTGAGTAAAACTTTCAGGATATTAATTTGATGTCAAATCCTTCACAAAACATTATAAAAAACATTCCTCTGACTGTAGTATAAATAACAGCCTAATGATAATCATCACATAGGCTACGTCAACTGTCACTCAATACATCAGCAGAGCAAAAGAGTTGAGCATGATATAGGATACACAAACTGTTTTGTCATGACTTAAATAGACAAAATGATTTAAGAGGTAAAATATGGACCGGAAGCCAGCAAGGAGTGGCTGGACCATTGTATGCAAGTTTTGGCGCCACAAGGACCTTGAACTTCAGCATCCTGTTCACTTCAGAGCTAGCAGGATTAAGGACCAGCACAGGAGACTTTTAGTAAGAGGATGGAAGACAGACTAGTAGGAATATTCAAAATAACCAACAGTTATAGCTTCAGTTACTGTAGTGAATAGTATCCGTCTGACATTCAAGAAAAAAAGAGTAACAATGTATGATTCCCTTGCTAAGAACCCTTAGCCTTTTCATTGGGCTTAAATAAATCAATCATTCTGTCTGAGGAGCCAGCTGATCTTAGTCAGTAACAACTAACATATCATTATCATTTATTCAAGATCCATCCTTTACTTACCGGCAACTTAACACATTTGTGGTTTTGATGTGCCTATTATGTATCCATCTACTTATTGATCAATTATCAATCATTGACTTGGAGAGGAGACGCCACCTAGATTTGTATTTTAACCCAAATATGAGCGAAGGATGAGTGTAGAATGGAGTAGTAAGATGATCTGTGTAGCTTTGTCACTGACTAAGATCAGCTGTTTCATTAGTCAGGCAGGGTCATTTATAAGCCCAATGATCAGGAACAGCTGGGTCCAGTTTCAAACCAACAATAAAAAGCTACTGACTTATCTCAGGATTGATCCGGCAACCTTTTGATTGTCTAGTAGTACAACAAATAAAGCAGTGCCACTTATCTTGTACAATATACGCGTATATACTTTCAGTTATTTAAAAATGTCTCCAACAGTTTTTATGAAAATTTGTATTTTGGTAAAGTTGTATTGATTATAATAGCTTAGTTAAGTAACTTTAAACAACAATAAATAAATGAGGAACTTGAAAAGAATTTTATAAAATTAATATATATATTTAAGATTCGAATACAAATTTCCTACGTATGTTACAGTTTTTGCATAATTTTAAATCAGTTTCGCTTTAGTTTAAATGAATTATTAGTCTCACCTTGGTCCACATATTTATTATCTGGGAAGATTCTGTTTCGCTCTTTTCCTTCTCCTGAAAAAACAAACTTATTTCAATATTTACAACTGCTAATTTGTTTAATAAAATGTATGGTAGCACATGTACAGTATACTATACTGTTATTCAATAACAACAAAACTATGACAGTTTTCATTTGCGGTGTTAGATTATAAACATCTATACTATTATATAAAAATCTAATGGTGTCTGTCTGTATGTGTATTACTAATAGGTGCAAAAACTACTGAACCAACTAAGCTTATATTTTACAAAAAATATAGCTAACATACCAAGGACCATTATAGGACTATTCATATTTCGATACTGACCGTAGGCTTTGCCCCTTTGGCTTTTACAGTTCTGAGGTGAGGATTTTAAAAGTAAATATTGATTGGTCTCCATGACTGCGATTAGAACACTAACAATGTTTGTTTACATTTGATTCAATTCAATGTAAACAAGAAGAACTGCTAAATTGCATATTTCACAATTTCAGACAGCTGATACAAAGAAGTTAAATATAATATTTTCCATAACTATGAGGTAGGTTTATTTTAATCTAACCTTTTATCATGGATTATTTATTCTAAAACTGTCAATGATTATAGAAAAAAAATTCTATAACCGTTGCTGTATCAACTCCGGCTCTGCTTTGGATTTTTCGTCTCAGTTATGAAAATAATGTTATTGATATGTTTTCATGGATACAGTATGAAAATTACAATCCCTATAGATGTTTTGTATGAATTTGGAGGCTATTTTAAATAAATTTGAACTGCTTTACATGTGTTAGATTAACTTAACATAACTTGCACATCACATTGTTTTTTATATGTATATTTAGGTAAATTTAGTTATTGTTTTTTGCTAAAACTATGCTTAATTAAACTAAAGAATATCATCAATAACAAAATTGTACGTCATTGATTTTGTGTTCTAAAATCTGTTGTATATGTGTAACTATATTAAATTATCAAATGGTAATACAAAATACTCTTATTTATCTTAACATAGCTTTCAGTTCACATTTACTTTATTTGATAAATTTATTATTTGTGTTTTGCCACACCACTGATTAAATTAAACCAAGGAAAGTATCATAAAACTAAGCAGTACACAGTGTTCTTTTGTTTATAAAATCAATAAAATATCTGTTACTACCTATGTTTACTTAATGGTAAGTGTGAAAATTTAAAGGCAATGGATGATGGAACTGATTAAAAGAACTGGTTTGTATATTAAGTTGTTTGTTGATATTTTTGTAGAGTAGAATCAGAGATGCAATGAAACATATACTGTATTTGCTATTACATTTTTAGTCCTCGACGCTTTGATAATCATATTAGTTTTGTCTGCTGTCTTTAGTGCTAAATTATTTGTTTAACATTTTTTATAGTATAGATATAGTTTCTTTAATATTTCAAAAGACTGTATTGATAAGGCACAAGAATATTTCTAAAGTTTATAACAGCTGACTTAGTTTTGCTAATGATTTATTGTGAGTGAAGGAACTGAAGATTGAAGGATTTGTTATTTATTATGAAGAAGAGTGAAATTTAAAAAAAATGTCCATATAAATTTAATAATAAGTATTTTTGCAACTTCAAAATTGAATTTTAAAATGTCAATTATAAATAAAAAGATATGTAATTAAGGGAGATGAAGGTAAATCGTATGTGAAAGTTTAATTCGAAAATTTGGTCAGTTTTTCTCATATCAGCCTACACAAGATTTAAAATTAATCAAAACCAAAATGGTGGTATCCACTACTTACGAGATTTAAAAATCATAACTTAAACCTTTCTATTAAGGCCATAAAAGTTTAATTTTGTTTCTAAAAGCTTTGGCGGATGTGTAATTACTATATGCAACTGATGTAAAGATTAAAATGTTTCTATTTTGTGTCCTCTTCCCGTTGCAAAGCACGGGTACAACAGCTAGTACAGTACTAAAACTAAAGACACCTGAAAACAATCATTGATGTATTGATTGGAGATTCATATTTTTATATTCCACTTACTGATCTCAGTTGTTTTTTCTCTAGCTATTAACTTAAATTGTTGTGTTTTCTGGTTAGAACCGGGATATTATCATATGTTTTATCTATGATATTATTCATTAGTTTAACCTTAGGGCCCTTGTTATAAAAAGGAATTTGATATGAGAAATCAACTATACAAATCAACAAATTAGTCTGATTGTATGTGAAATGACATGTGTTTATTGTTTAGTAAAAAAGAGTGAATACAGTACTTATTTTCACTACACTATATATTTTACTATTTAATTATTTAAACCATTTTTAGTGTAATTTTTTTTCAAATGGTGTATTCTGTGTATTATAGTAACAATAAATACTAAACTATAATAACTCGCACAATACTCTCTCTGGAAATACATGTTACAGTATGTCATATTACAGACTGATACTGTAATATGACAAATAATAATGGTATAGTTATAATAATAATAATAGTGCAGGAAAAGAGTGTAAAATTTAGCCTAATAGTGGAATTTTAATTTATCAGGCTGAAAATTGGTGGATATGTCGTACATACAGCTGGGAACATCATACTAAAATTCCCAAAAAATCCCACTTGGGCAACATGCCGCCATCTTGGAAAATGACCGCCATAATGGATTTCCCCCCTTGTGTCACATATTCAAGCATAAAACCACTCGTAATTGTGATAAAAACATACAGTTTCTTCAAAATTATTTGTCGGGATGTAATTAAAATATTTAGGGCCAATGTAAATAATTGTGTGTAGTAATTAAACATTTTTATGCAAAAAATTACCAAAACATTTTTGAAAGGTAATACTAGTCTTGGATTTAAAATTGATTTAAGACCTATTTTACTCATCGGGAGAAAAACTTACCAGCATAAATTTTTTGAACAGGTCAATATGCACAAGAAATTTTAATAATATTTGTTTTTGGTCTAAAAGTATGCCGTCATATTGACGTTGAACGTGCGATTGTAGCCTAAGTTTTAGACCACGTCGTGGTGGAGACTTTAATATAATGCTGTAAATGAAACGAGTTCTCATGCAGCATGCTTAAAGTGAGGGGATATGTTTCCACATTAAAACCCTTTAGGAGATCAGACAAGATACAGTCACATTTAACCATGGGAAATGTGGTCGTTGTGCGGGGTGAAACTATTCCTATTAGCCAAAATTAGCTATTCTATCAAATTATGTGTCTTGTCCGTAATGATTAACAGTTGTAGACATGTTTTGAATACGAGTTGGCACCATTACCAACAGCATTATTCAACGATGGGACCAATAGAAAACCGTTAAGGACCATGTGGGAGAAATTGTGTCCTTCTACGGATTGTCTTCCACTAGCTTCAAACCTTGTGATAGATGGTGGGCATCTTCTTCACATGGTAGTCTGGCAAAACCCGGCTATTTTCTCTGGCATTTTTTAAGGCTTACCAGACATACATTGTAAAACATTACGGAAATCAAATCATTGTTGTTTTCGACTGATTCCAGGAAAGTACGATGAAGGATGTAGAACCCGTTAGGCGAACGTTTAAAACGACATCTGCCGAAGTTCTTGTTGGTTCTGATGTGCAAGTGGTATCCCAGTAGCATCCATTCTTAGTCAACGCAACCAACAAAACACAACATTGATCAATTAGTAAGCCATCCAAACAGAAACTGAATACAAGCGGTCCATGCGAAAGCTGATGCAGACCGTCTAATTGTCCAAACAGCCATCCTACTAGCCAATGAAGAAAAAACTCTGCAATTGTTGGAAATAACACTGAGGCATTCGTCCTTTTATTGACCCTTACTGACCCTGACAAAAATATCTTAATGCTCGTTCCACTTTCAAAAGCTCATTAGCAAAAGATATTTTCATCCACAGCACTGCAAAATAGTATGGACAATGTCAACGAGCATCTTCTTTTCCTGCATTCTATGTCCGGTTGTGATACCACGTCAGCAAACTACAGGAAAGGGAAGATACAAGCCTTCAATGTTCTGAAGAAATCACCAATTCTTTGCCAACCAGTGTATGTGTTCAATCGGGCGGAATCCACACAGATGGAAATCGTCAAAGCTGGATAGGAATTTCTTGTAGCCTATATATGGAGGAAAAGGCGGTCAGGGACTCAAAAGAACTCGATACAAACAGTACCTGAAAGTAATATCAAAACGTCTTGACTTTTAATTTGACCTTTCAACACTACTACCAACTTCTGAAGCTGCTAGAGAGCACAACCTTAGATTGTACCACCAGGGTCAAGAATGGCTAGGGGGTTCTCTTCCACCTACAGAGTGGGGATGGAAAAAGAACGAAATAGGTACATTTACTCCAATTCCTACTTCAATGCCCCTTTACCTGACAACCTTCCCAACTTGATAAGATGTGCATGTAAGACTGGATGTAACAGGTATTGTGGGTGTCTGAAAATGGGTTATCTTGTTCACGATTGTGTATCTACTGCACCAACGGTTGTGGTCACAGGATCAATGCCACATCAGTACTAAATGAAGAAGGGGACATTAATGTACCTGATTTACCAACCCAGTTCCGTTCTGACCGGGAAGTGAGCACAACCGTCATCCAAATGATTCCATTCCACTTTGCAGCAAGAGGAAAAAGTCACATCAAAGAAAATAGTTTTTATAACTCACAAACTTATCAATTGTCAAACAAAATATATTCAGTTTTTTTGGAGTTTATATAAAAAAGAAAAACATTATGTATCAAACAAAAGTAAGTTATAAAAGTAATACTAACACAACTGTTTATTTACTATTAGTAATTTAATTCCATTTACATAATTTTATTACAGTCACCACCATGATGCGGTCTAAAAAGTAGGCTGCAATCACATGTCCAGCGTCAATATGCGGCATACTTAGGCATATAGACAAAAAAATAAATATAATTATATATTCTTGTGTGCCTTGACTTGTTCCATAAGATTTAATCAGAGAAGTTTTATCCCCGATGAGTAAAAGAGGTCTTAAATCAATTTTGAATGCAAGACCAGTATTACCCTCCAATTATTTTTGTTTAATTCTTAGCATAAAAATTTGTAATTTCCATACAAAACTATATATAATGGCTCTAACTATTTTAATTACATCCCGACAAATAATTTTGAAGAAACTGCACGTTTTAATCACAATTAGGAGTGGTTTTATGCTTGAATATGTGACACAAGGGGGAAAATCCATTATGGCGGCCATTTTCCAAGATGGCGGAATGTTGCCCAAGTGGGATTTTTTGGGAATTTTAGTATGATAATCCCAGCTGTACGTACAACATTTCCACCAATTTTCAGCCTGATAAATTAAAATTCTGGAATCCAACACTATTTTCCTGCACTATAACGGGAGTGTGGATTTCCAGTGCCTCCCGGGTATAAAGTTAAATATTAACAAAGAACCAACACAACTGTTTGTGTACAAATTGAACTGTAATCAAACTAAGTGGGGGTATTTACTAAGCACTTACTGTCAGACATTTTACAACACTACTTGTGGTGACAGCTTGGATATCTGCCATGTTATTGTCCACATTCTACTCCTAGCGATTATTATGGCTTTGAGAAACGATAATCAAGCAATTATTCAATAACAATCAAGTACTTAATGACAGCGATTGCGCCGCGCCTTGCGTCCTTAGATGAAACAAGCAAAACACCACGACAAGTAGTTGCTGTATCGGCCATGTTGAAGGCGTTCTAAAATGTAATGATTGTTGTGGGTCAGTTAATTTCAATAACATGTAATTTTTTTTATAAATATCAACTACTTAAAATCCAAAGATTTGTATCATACATTTTCTCTAGTGTACCGCGTGTGTGTGTGTGTGTGTGTGTTTTGTCGTCACCGTGCTAAGCTATAGCTTTTGTCTCTGTAGTATAGACTTATAACGACAGCTCCGGTGAAGATGTAAAATTTTGTAGAACATTCTTTTAGAGCAAAAAGTTATAAGAATTCTTTTGTAGTTCCAAACCTGTAGTAAATCAATAGTCATGACATAGAGAACATATAATATGAAATGGTAAATTGGTTTCGTTTATCAGTGTAGGGCCGATAACAACAGACCATCCATTATTTTCCCTGATCTTAATATGTAATTAATATTGAAAATACCGACAATTCAAGCAAGAGCAAAAGTAAAAAAATAAATGGTGCTATACCGATAGATGTTTTATAGTCAGTACCAGGAGACCGATCTTTGCTCGGATTGAATTAAACATTAAATTTATTAGATAAGTTATTTAGCTAAATTAAAGATATGTATTTATAATGTACGGTTATCAATGTGGACACATTTAGATGATACAAAGAACATTTTAATATACCTTTATAAATACATAGATTGCAATAAAAATAACATGGATCAGCTGTTTCAAAAAGGTATTGACGATAACATGGGCACTTTCAAGGGCTGTTGGGCAGAAACTGGATTATTCCCAGCCTTGTGACCAACTCCAATCGATTTCTAGTGGCCAAATACAGTACCCCTTAGTACAGAAACAAATTAAAATTCCTCGGACGAAAATAAAAGTTTGTCGGTACATGTGCTTATTTTTGATTATAGGATTACATAGTTCATATAATATATACGAGTATTTACTCACGTTTGACGGTTCCCAGGAATTCGAGTTTGATTGTTCGTTGTTTGGTTGATCGTCTTCTCTTTTCGTCTGTAACAAAAATTGATCATGTCTCAAAAAATAGTTATTACTGTATTGAGAGCGTAATTATCATGATATTGTACAACTATAGTGGTTTATGTATAAGAATCGAAGATAAAGAAGACCACCAGAATGTAGATAATTTGCTTGACTGGTCCGGTATGTTGAAACATTCGGTACCTATCTCGGTTAATTGAGATGTGCCTGTCCTACTCCTGAAGGTATCGAATAATTGTAGACCTTAAATGGGCTCTAAAAAAAGTTTCCAAGCTTAAATTGTACAAAATGAGACATTGTTAGGTCACCGACGTAAGCATCTGCAGAGGCCAATAATGGACCTAATCCTGCAAATAGAAAATGCACCTATAATCACGCACATGCTACAAGTGGCTACGTGTACCCTCATAACTTATTAAATTGTAATGCGTGTATTATTAGAGTTAGAGGTTAAAGTCAAACTGCAATTTTATTCCAATCAGCCCTGACTCCTGACCCCATGCAACTATTTTTAGTGAATTGCTGTTTTATTATCAAGGAAATAGCCAGTGAGGCGGGACAGTGCTGTTCCCACGGCATTGTGTAATCAGCTGTTGAAACAAACAGTCAAGACAGCTGTTCGTCAGTATACCAACCATCATAACGTTGCCAAAGAGTAAAATATGAACCCAATGTAGAGCAAGGCCCAAAACCTTCCAAAATGGGCTGGTAGGGGTCTACTGCTTACCATGCCTTTTGCAGATAAAAACTGTGTCAGTTAATAATATACATTATGAGATAAGTAAACATACATGTCAATGTATATATGTATTTTTTATTTAATGGAAGTATTTGTGGTATTGTACAATATTTTTAAACTTCTGAAGTCAGAGTTAATTCCTATGTTCCTAAGTGTATGAATAGAGGCGTCACTTATCCCGTGGCAATTAGTAATAAATTAAGTGTATTTCAAAAGGATTCAACAAATATTACTCTACCTCTTTTTTTAATTTTAATCAATCCCTGGTTAAGTTACAAGCCTAGGGAGATATGCTACACAACACAGTTTTATAATTTTATAGACGGTTTCAATTTCTATATGAAGTCATATACGAAATTGCAAATTCAAGAGTTTTTCTGTTCAGTTTAAATTCGCAGCATTGAATTTTACTAACAAAGATTTTTAATTTAATGTGCATAATATCATCAACCTATAGTGATTTTCTGCTGACTATAAGCGGGCCGCCCCCTGAGGAGGAAGCATATCACTGAATAATGTATTAAAATTATTGTTATGCTCAGTAACTTTGTTTAAAGTTTGGTAGCTCTATCATTATTATTTTTGTAAATCTTTAACCATCCCTGGATTTTTTCCATCATACATATTATTTTTCTTCACTCTACACTGTTTTTTATCTAGACATTTCACGCATGAAACTAGTCCGGAAAACAGCTGTTTGCCGCCTGCTTATTGAAATGTGGTTTCATTACTCATACAACAGCGGTAATGTAATATTTTTATTATTTTTAACAAACGAAAACATATCCTTAGAAGTTATGAGTAGTGAGTGATTGATTGTTAAGTCCTTAAGTCGATTGGAATATATACCAAATTTGTACAGATGTTTTTATGTTTTAGTTTTTTTTTCGGTTACTTTATAATAGTAAGGCAAAAAATATTGTACGTCACTCTAACAAGAGTATGCCCTACCGGTACACGTATGGTAATCCCCTATTTTTCGGACTAGTAACGTAATATACTATTTCAAGCGAAATACAGTACTACCACTACTACCTGATACTAGTTTCACACATGTATGTTCGCAGGAGCAATTATAAACACCACGTTTAGCATACCTCCATTATTTATTTATTATTTTCTATCGTATTATTATATCATGTTATTATATTTATAACACTATCTTGTGGAAAATAGTTGAGTAACCTTATATCATTGCAAAATGCTTTTAAGGAACGCATGTATACGTCACGAACTAGTCCAATGTAAAATATAAAGACGTTTTCTTTCAAAAGCGAAATACAGTACCAGAAACTGAATTAGGCACGCACTTCACTTGACATCTTTAAATGATAATCCATCTAGGATAAGACAAACATATTATTGTTTTGAGTGTTTTCGAGAAAAATTAGATCATCAAAATAACAGTTATTTACGTAGAAATTGTAACACTGCGTTGGTTACCTTAGGCACCAAATTAATTGACACTTCACAATAAAACATAACCGCCAGAGAGTCACCGGCAATTGCCGTAAGATAAACACTCCAACGAAAACATGTCAATCATGCATCTAGTACTGAGAAGAATGTACTGAAATAAATAAATCTATATCCGTCCTGAAATTATTATCTGTAGCTGTACTGTAAAGAATCCAGCTTGCTTTGCTGGATACGTTCCACGCACACGCAGTTAGTCTATGTGGACGGGCAAATGCAAGGTTAAAAGAGGCTGACAACCTCTTAAAAAATGAATGAAAACTACATCTGTCATTCCACCGAGTGGACATTATTTGACTGAAACGGATGATTTCCGTAGCAAATGGCGACTGAGAGAGTTAACAAAAGAGAAAAGAGTTTTTATAGTTAATCATCTCCCATTCTTAACTCCTGAAGGTGCGTAGTCAGAACTAGAATTTCTCGATAGGGAATGCTTTATTACCATAGAATAAATATTTATTCTATGCATTATTGCGGACGGCAGGGAAAGACTTAATACCCGGGTTCGATTTATTTTTTATTTATTTATTTATGACAGAGGCCATTAACACTATTTATTCAAATTTATATATAATAAAAACAAACATATAAATAGGATAAAGAAATATTTTTGCATGTTGAAGTATTGTTTTATAATTAAAAGTTACAGAGAGAATTATCATTTTTTTATTACAATGGAGGAGATGAACTATGTTGTAGTTTGCTTATTCATGGATATCTATCTATCTATACTATTATAAAGAAGAGGTGGTGTCTGTGTGTGTGTGTGTGTGTGTGTGTGTTTGTATGAGCTAATCTCAAAAACTACTGAACCTATTGGGCTAAAATTGCACACACATGAAGCTACAGTTCCGAGGATACATATAGAACTATTCCCGCTTCAATATTGTCCTAGGGCTCTGCCCCGTGGGCTTTCAAAAATCGGAGGTGAGAGATTTCAAAGTAAATTTTGATTGATGGTATCCATGACAACAAAGAACAAACCTACAAAGTTTAAAAATGTAAACTTTGATTTCACAATTCCATACAGCTGGTTCAAACATTCATTTAAATACTGCATGAATATTAGAACAGAGAGGGTAAGGATCATATTTAAAATAATGATGTCACTATCCTGAATGTAAACATTATTTAACATTACTTAAATGGAGCTGTCAAACCATACGCTAATGTCATTTCATTATAATAGGATTCTTTCAGTTACATAATTTGTTTATTTTTATTTACTTTTTACTTTTTTCTATGGTTCAGGGGCAGTCGTAGAACAAAAGAACCAAACTTTCTTAAACCATGTCCTCACCCATAACTGCAATAAGCATTTTATACTTATATGCCAACCCCGTACGAAGGACGGGTACTCTGCTAGTATCTATATATATCTATATATATCTATATATATAATTCCGTAAGTCAAATTTTTGTAAAGAAATTGTGAGTGACTGGATGGCCGTAGAAGGATGGGAGGGGTCTTATTTTAAAGGTCTTGACGTGAATTTTGAGGGAAAACTATTCATTTTTCTTATTTTTTTACCATAAATTCGCAACAGAATAAAACTTTTCCCATTAAAACAACATGGGGTTTAATTTGTTTACATCTTTTGAAATTAAAACAGCTGTGCCACAGATTTGAAAACAGTGATCAATACACACATTTGGTTTACTTTTAGCCAGTCAACTATGAAATGTATACTATAATAAAACTGAAATATTGAAGATTAGTCGGAAAAACGTCTGCATTCTTTGTTTATATTTAAATCATATACTCAAGTTTCATTTTTTCATGCTTTTACCTAATTGTCGTGTTAAAGGAATAAACGACATAGAATAAATATTCTGTATAAATAATCAAAGAGTCAAAATTAAATCTAACTTCTGTTTCGTTTTTATTTTTAAATCATATGTTCAAGTTTATTTTAAATGATGTTGTTTTCTTTATATTTCTACACATTTTAAGGTTAAGGTTGTGTAAATATATACAACTAAAATAACCTATAAATGTTATTGGTTCTAAAATGGTGTATTTGCATTCCTTCGTAAGTAAATTTTTTTAGTGCAGTGAATATACAACGTAGAGTAATCATATTCGATCATACTTTTATAAAATCACCAGGGATTCAAGATGTTTTGGTATGTAGGCTGCTGGATATATATTCTTTTCATTATAAGTACTGTAATTAATATGAATGCCAGGGGAATACCACAAAGGCGGGGAACTGTTCATAGGAATGACAGTGCGCGTAGGAGAGCAAGAGTAGATAATGACGAACTTAATCAAGATATGTTACAACCCCTTTTTAGGAGACCCATGGTAGACGAGAGAAATGTAAAGATCCATGATGCAGGATTATTGGACCAAGAGTGCATTCAATGTAGTGCTCTTCATTTTAGAGAAGAACTAACGAATAATCATTTTATGACATGTTGCCATAACGGACTTATTAACCTTCCTCAGTCAAAAACTAATGTAGAACTTAAAAGTTTGTTTGAAGAGAGCCCACAACTGTATAAATTCATTCGACAATGCAACAGTGCGATGGCTTTTGCTTATTTTTCAGCCAGTAAGAAAGATATTCCAGGAAAAGGACCATACTGTTTCAAAATTCAAGGACAGATTTATCGTTCAATCTCAGATTTGCTGCCTCAACATGATGAAGACCCCGTGTATGGCCAATTGTACGTTATTGACACATCAACAGCAACAGAAATTCGTCAAAGGCGTCGAGAAAATAGTGACTTAAAACCTGAAAGATTGTAAAAACTAGCTGAAATTCTATTAGAAAATCCATTTGCACAAATT